ATCCTGAAATATGTTTTTCCAAATGGCTATCCAGCTATCACTACAATTTTAGAAATAATTCGCCCTCTCCTCATTGATTTCAGTTTTGACTAACACTTTAAACATTGAGAGAAGCCACTGAATTAACTAATAAAAGATTTTAGCAGTTTACATTTACAGCAGGCTTGAGTGGTGCCCTTTTTCACACTTTCTAATCAAAATTTGACATTTTATCTTTTCAGTATTTTTGCAAATCTGATTAAGCAAACCATAGTGTTTTGCTGGGAGGAAATAATTATAGGAAGAAACACAGGAGGCAATGTGTCACACGCCTGGAAGTCGAAGCTGGGAAGTGGCCACTGAATGGAGACCTTTGGGAAACTGGCTGTGGGGCAGGCGGCAAGAGCACATTGCAAGGACTAGAGTCAGCATAGGTGCTGGATGAAAGAAGATTGACCCTGAATAGGAAGTGGGGCATCTGTGGAGTAGCATGTCCAAGACTGGTAAACCCCTCTCCCTCAAGGAAAGAGGGCAGGAGAGGCTGGGATCCTAAAGATCTAGGGCTGGGAGTAGTGGCTCAGGCCTGTAGTCCCACACTTTGAGAGGCTGAAGTGGGAGGATTGCCTGAGCCTGGGAGTTCAAGACTAGTCGGGGCAACATGGCTAGTCTCTGTCTCTACAAAAAAACGAAAAAAAAATTGGCAGGTATGTCAGCACACTCATGTAGTTCCAGCTACTGGGGAGGCTGAGGCAGGAGGTTCATTTGAGCCCAGCAGTTTGAAGCTGCAGCGAGCTGTGAAAACACCACGTATTCTAGCCTGGCTGACAGAATGAGACCCTGTCTCAACAAAACAAAACAAAAACAAAAACAAAACAAAAGGTCTATCTAGGAAGCTCAAAGTTTGGGGTTGGGGAGGCAGGACTGATGCCTGAACAGAGTGTTCAGGGGACCTGTGCACTCTCCGTTGAGTCTGGTCTGTTCTCCCTGTGTCAGCTCAGTGAGGGCCAAGAGATTCTCCCTTAAAATGTCTTTCTGGTTTCCAACAGTCCATTTCAATTTACCATCATTTTGAGCTTGAACCCCTACAATGACACCCCTGCCCCCACTCCTAATTATTCTGCCCATACCCTCAGGCTACCCTCCACCCCATCTCTACAGTAAATCAGACTGATCTTTTAAAAACTCAGCTCTAATCACCTGTGTTTTTCTTTCCTAAAACTCTCAGTGACTTTTGGTAATACTTAGGATGAAATTCAAAATTCTCAACTGTATTCACCCTTCCACCTCAGTCTCATTCCTGCTACCTCCAGAATTTTATGACTCTTCTGTCACACAGCCTTTATTTTTCAATGGCACCAGGCCCACATTTTCCTACCACAGGGCCTTTGTACTTGCCTTGCCTGGGCCCAGATGTTCTGGTCCTACTCTGCCCCATGAAACACACACTTCTCCAGGCTAACTTCTCTCCCTCCATTCCTGGGTGTTCCCTGACACTCTTCTGTATATCAGATGCATCTCTGCTCTAAGAGGCACCCCAAACTTGCCCTCATAGCAGTTAACACAATTGTAATTATTTAGTTACTTTAATGACCATTTTCTAATTTCTGTTTCTCTCAGTAGATTATAAGATTACATATTGTTGCATCCCCAGTGATTAATGGAATGACTGGCATAAAGCTAGCATTAAGGAAACATTTTTTTTTTTAAATTGGCAAATGAACGAGGTATAACTGTGAAGCAATGAGACAGATTCTAAGTATCATAAGCAAAGAACAATGTCCCTCCCTGTTGGGAATGCCCGTCTGCATGTATTTCCATTAAACAAAATCTTCCCTTTTTTTTCAAGGCCCCTAATTTAAGTGCCTCTTGCTTTGGAAGCCACATGTGTGTATTGTAGCACACTCTGATCACTTATTTCTCTGACCCCTGTGGCACCCGCTGGCATGAAAAGAATGAAAGAGGGAAGGAAATTAATGTGAGACTCCATGATGGCCTTTCCCAAAGTAACAGGGAGTTATTTTCCTCTTCCTTAATTTCTAGTAATTCTTTCCCTTTGAAGGTACAGCCAAATTCCCTCTAATATACTATGATTGCTCCCTTAGGAGCTGTTGTGCAATCAACTAGATTTGTAGAATTTTACAACTCAGGGTCACCCAGTATGATTCCTCATTTTACAGATGAGAAAACTGAGGCCCAGAGAGGTTAATGTTTGAAACAATTACTTCTGTTGGGTCTTTTAATACCAATAACTGTCATTTTCTAAGATAAATGTCTTAATACCCCAGCTCCACAAAATGGAAATGTGTATTCTGTTTATGTAAAGACCTATCAGTGGCGATGATCTCAGTGCTAACGTCGGCCCTGCAGGGTGGGCTTCCTGCCCTGCTCCCACAGCAGAGCTACATTAGTCTTGGGGAGTCAAAGAACTCTGGTTGTGACTGGGCCCCCTAACCCAAATGGGGCCACATACCTTACCTGTGCGTTGACCAACGGGCCCTATATTTGTGCTGTGACTCACTGGAATAACGGATCATGAGACCTGCTGTGTTAAACAACTGAAAAACAGTAAAAGACAATCTTCCTTCCCTCAAAAGTCACGTAGTGTCAACTGGGAAAATGTCTAAAAATGGCCATAGAAAGGGAGGGAGTTTGATCTGAAACACTGTCAGCAACTTCTTCTCCCTCATATTCTCGTTACAAAAAACCAGGCAAGCAGAACATAACTTTTGTAAACACATTTAGAAAGAACATAACGTGGCCTTCAAGGAGGAAGGAAAAGCAGTTCCTTTATATCTAGAGGATCAATAAGAAATTAAGCAAAGTCCAGGTGAAGTTTGGCAGTGTGAATTTATACAACCTGAGCCAAGGAATTGAGCTCTCTCTCCTGGGAGGCTGTGTGGCCAGGCCTGGAAGAGGGAGGTCCACGTGGGCACCGCACAGGTGCTGTGTCAGGACTCTGTCAGGCACTGCTTTCAAATCCAGCCTGGAGAGCGTAAAAGGGGTTTTTCAGCACTGGAGAAACTTGGACAAAGAAGAGCAAAAAGGCATCCTAGGTAGAAAGCGGGCATGAGAACCAGCTGGGAAGAGGGAAACAGAGTTGTGGGGCAGAGAAAGTTGGTCGTTGGTGCCGTAGAAGGGAGAGTGGAGCAGGAGTCGGGCTGGTGTCCCCTGAATGGTGTGGTTGGGAACCTAGTGCTGGAGGGGAACAGGATGATTTTCAGTGTGAGCTGAGGCTATCAAGGGCAGTGAATCAGCATGGCCTGTGTACCCCAGAACTGGTGTGAGGGTCCTGGAAGGAGCTGATGAGAGAATTGGGACTCTGGGA